TATCCTTGGCGGGATGGGCAAAGTCGCGTCAGGCGCTCGCTATTTGCTCCCGAGTGGAATGACCTGCGGCCGGTGGAAGCGGCCTCGCTAAAGGTCAGGTGACGTCAGAGGACAGGACGGGCGTGCTGGTCATTAAGATACGCTAAGCTTTCGCCGCAAAATGTTGCTGCTGACCTGCATTGTCATGATCGGATGATGGAGCAGGAGCCCGTGCTTCACCCACTGCTCAGCGTGGGCTCTAATTCCAGAAATTCATCCAATAAAAAGATTGGGAAACGTTTTTGTTTTAGATTTGACCGAGAAGCTGGTCACTATAGGATCGCGCAATGGGATCGCGCAGATGGGAAAACATCGGCCGAAACCAGCGATTCTGACGCAATGGGAGGAACTGGCACGAAAACAACGGCAGAAAGTCGGTCATGCAGGCTAGTTGATGAAATGAATAAAAAAGTCTGAGGGATCTGATTAGTTCGGATTCCTGGGTTCCTAGGGCTAAGGAATGATGAAATCCTCGCTTCTGTCATCGGAGAATGGGGCCTTGATTCCCAGTGACCCGCAAATATGTGACAATACTGCCGCCAAAGACCCTGTCAGCCACTCGCTGCAACTCTGTTAATCAAAACAGTGAAGCATTCTATGGGCTTGCAATAAATTAGCTATGCCCCTTTCACCCGGCTGCGGACGGTTCCAAATATGCTTAGTGGTTTGGCATGAACAGAACAAATAAATGACTTTGTCATCTGCGCATTTCAAACTATCGTGGTAAGCGAACACACTAAATGAAAACTACATCATAAGTGTGAAAGTTCCTTTGGGAGCCTGGCAATGGAGCAGTAGCTGGGTATTTTGGGACCGGGCGCTCTCATTGAAATTCGGCAGGGTATTCGTAACCTGCCCGCGTCCCGGCATCTCTTTGCTTCTTGAGCACAGTGATATTGCAGGAGGTGAAATGTAAAACAAATATTCAACGGTTTTAGTAAGATGTTAAAGTGATGACATTAAAATGCGATTTAAAATTGCGCTACGGGTGCAGTTTAGCCCGTTTCCTCAGAATTGCCTTTTCCACCCGCAATATGGTTCCAGCACCTTTTGGCGTCTCCTTATCACGTCTGATTCGATAATCTCTTTCAATGAATATTCCACTCTTAACCAAAAGCTTGTCTTACGGTTACCTAGTACGCATCAATTTATTTCCCCTATAGCTATGCGATCAAATCAGTGGAGCTAACCACATTTGAACACAAAATATATGAAAATTGTGCACACGAGGAAATCGATGGGAAATACAGCCTATGTCAAGAATCGCGATGAACAGAGCTGAGGGCATTAGAAGATAAGATACGAACATGTGCGTATGCGACGCTCGTGTATATGCAAATGCTTACCAGTGAATACATGCGAAACACAGATGTGCATGTGGCAAAGGTTAGTAATTGACGGTGTAATTGACCGCACTACTCCATTCGCTGTAATGCAGCTTTCCGACTCGGTCTATATTGGGGCTGTGATTGGTCTCGCGTGACACCGAGGCTCGCTGGCGTTGGCAGCCTGCTGACGAGGTGAGCCGGCTGGCCAGCCTGAAGCAGCACCGGCGCCGGTGGCTGCGGCCGGGCTTAGTTTGTGGTTTATGCTCGAACCAACATAGGTTTGTTATTCAGGTGGAGTCAAAAGATTGAATTACAACGTATGGATGATTAATAAAAACTTATTATCTATTTGTCGCTTAATTTTATGTGGGTTTCTCTCTACAAACTTAAGGCTAGCTTTAAAACTGTTAGTCGCTGTTTTTTTTAAGTTCAGTTTAACCTGGCCAAACCTTAAGCTTTATGCCCAAAAGACGACAGGTCAGACATGGGGCTTCACGCTAATGCTATAGCTTTGATACAGTTTAAAAGCCAAATCTTTACTGGCGATTCCCTTTAGCATCTCGCTTACCTAGATCGAGTGGAATAAATGTTATGGCATGCGTTAAGATGTATCTGTATGTCGTTAGGCGGAAGTTGATGGCATGGCTCGTCCTGGGCCCGGTCGTGTAAGATCAAGTGACTCGTCCTGGGCCCGGTCGTGTAAGATCAAGTGACTCGTCCTGGGCCCGGTCGTGTAAGATCAAGTGACTCGTCCTGGGTACGGCCGTGTAAGATCAAATAGCTCGTCTTGGGCATGGCCGCGTGAGATCACATGGCTCGTCCTGGGCATGACCGTGTAAGATCATACGACTCGCCCTGTGCATGCCCGTGTAAGATCAAATGGCTCGTCCTGGGCATCGTCGGCATTAGGGCTTTACGACCCACTCAGCTGCTCAAGCTATATGGAGTCGCCTGCCTCTCACCCTGGCAGGATGGGCGGGCACCACGGGGAATCGAACCCCGTATCTCTGGTCTCCCAGACGTGCAGTGCTTAATGCAGGTGCGTTAACCACTACGCCATCAACGCCGCCTCGTCTTGGGCATGGCCGTCAATGATACCATGGCTCATCCTGGGCATGGTCGTGTTGGGCTTACGGATATTGCGAGGGCGACGTGAACGTCTCTTTTATCATCGGCCGAAAAGCCTTGAGTAGTTGATCCCTTGGGCATACGGCTGGTAACATGGATTCGGAGGTATTGATGATATGTGTGTGTAACAAATGCTAGATGCCCTCTGCTTTTTGCCATGCGGACATCCCTGTAAAAATGCGTGGACAGGATGGCACGTCTAATGGCATTTTGTGAGGGTACTTGGCGCTCCCACACAAAGTGGCCTGTACAAATAGTAATGACAAAATATTGGTGTAGCATTTCAATCAAGTTCATTTTCAGAGTAATTATGATCGCTTGACTATCGCTTGCTGCTGCTCGCTGTGCTCACGGCCAATGGCCCAACATGCCCTCAGTTTGTCAGTTGTAATGAAAATGATCTGTTTGTTCTTTGATATAAGTAATGAAAAGCAGCGTCACGTTTTGCTGAAGCCAAGAACGACCTCCTTGGAATCAACGTTCATTGAATGCATAGGTGTATCGAACCACCGGCTGGCCTCAAACAGAAGCTTTTGCGTGGATGTTGATAATGCTTATGCGTTGTTGCATCTTGCCAGGTTTAAGGAGAGGGTAGGCAATGCTTGTAATTTGTGCTACATGGTACATGGAGGTCATGTGGAAAGAATCGGCAATACCTTGATGTAGCTCCAATGTTCTTGAAAGATTTTCGCCTTTAATGCAATGTCATTAACTGAAGTTCCCGTTACACTCACAGTATTAATTCCCCACGTCACTCGATCTGCTGCCTGTTCAATTTTGTTTTCAAGAGCTTGCCCGTGTGTCCGCTGACCCAACCAGGGCATCACCAACACCACCAATTGATAAGCACGGGCACGGCTGGGCGCCCCCCAGTCTCGACTGCCCGACCGCTATGACGGGTCCTCTCCGCGAGGGGCCCCCTGCCCAGGCTGGGGTCGGCTTGCGGCTCCCGACACATCACTACCAGGCTGGCGTCGGCCCCCACCTCCTGACACCATGCCACCCGCCGCTCTTGGCCTCGGGGGAAAAATGGTGCTGTCTCGCCGCAGCAGCACTGACACAATTTGCTTTCAACGCCGCAGGGCCCATATGCTGATTAAAACATAACGAGTGCGCCAAATTGTGTCTACTTCTAAATCGGAGAACATAACTTAAATTGTTTGCAAGGGCCGAAGGCACCATTCACAATCGGCAATGTCATAGGAAGCGCAAATGTGCTTGTTTGGACGTGTAATTAGGTGGTGGAGAGTGGGGCGAGTTACATCATGTCTAAGCAATATCAGGACTATTTATCCCAACTCCATGCGACGCATAGCAGCTTTACGCCATTAGCTGACGCGCAGCAGCCCACTCCACCTGTCTGTGTACTTTCTGCCGCACGCGCGCCGGCCAGGGCCGCCGCACCTTGGTGTAAGCGCAAACAAAATTCTTTTTTTGCACAACGACGAAACTTTAGTGATCGGTGTAAGTGTGTGTTAATGGGCTTTCGGTATAACTAGACAAATATGGATGCTATGCGGAGTGTTGGGGAAATACATGTCTCGTACATATTGCAAAGCGTTTAGGATCTGCCAGCCAGTGGTTTCAGGGTGGTGCGAATTTTCTTCCGAGATATTCGATGATGCATGTTTTGAAAGCTGTGCGTGGGGCATGCTGTAAAATTGATACAATGTACCGACAGTATGCAATTGACTGACTTACTGTCAACCAATGACTGACATGAATGCCATGACTTATTGACATCTAGACAAGTCGACAGTTATACCACCTGTGTAAGTCCATAATTCCACCCGAGCAGCCGAAGCCGAGGTGGCAGTACTCATGAAATAAAGAATGCCTGAAAAAAGGACAAACATTTGTCATATCGCAATCACGACGAATCACAAAATAGCGCAGACGGGCGCACTTGGTCTACACATCGTAAGGCATTTGGCTTGCTTGCGATGCAACTTTCTCGGTGATAAAAACACACAAGTACAGCTTTTCCACTATGTAATACAACTCACCCCGGTTTGGAGCGGGTTGCCTGATTTATAAAGGGGTCACACCGAAGTCATTCACCAGAGAAAAAACAGGACGTGTTCTCCAAAACTTTGCCGCTGCACACGAAGCTGAAGGATATAGCTGACTGCAGTTTTAGTGATTTTAGAGCCCTATCCTTAGAAGTTTCAGCAGGAGGAAGCTCAGGGTAAAAACCGATATAACTCTACGTACTCTCCCTTACATCGCAGATGGCCAGCTTTTACGATGACGTAAGATTGCCGGACCTTGCTGGCTCTGTGCAATTAAAAACCGACTTCTAGCATTGCGGGTACACTCAGCGATCCAGTCATCACCCATTTTATTCAGCGTGCTCACTTCCAGCGGGATTTCAGATCATTTGAACCGATGTTCGCCACTGGTTGCCGGGCGGCGCGCGCCCGCCTCCCGGCCCCGCGCCACATCCGGGAACTTGAGTCACGTGACCGACGCCGCGGCACGGCCGGCGCAGTGTGAGGGCCCGTGTGTTGGTGCGGCGGGTGGCCGTCGGCTCTTAGGAGAAATCAAGATCAAGACGCAAAAAGCCTGTCCTCGACCCGAAACCGAGTGTCATCACCGAGCGCAATGTCCAAGGTATGTTACTGTGGTCTTTGCATGCTTCAGCCTGCTCTTGTTGCGCCGTAATTTGCTTTCTCTAGGCGCGCGTTTTATCAGCAGCAGACTACGACAAGATGGCGGCGGCACGAGTCGAGGAGTACGCTCGGTCTGGCGGTCGGAGCCTGGGAGCGGGGCATCCCTTAACACATTTGGGGCTGGTTTTTAAAATGTGAGCAGCGAAGAGTTACGCAGCAGTCGGAGGGCTTCCAAACGCCTTATTGGGCTTCCTGTCAAGTGATGAATCGGGCCCTTTCTGTTCTACTTTGGGTGCAACGAAGTGCGATCGTGTACCTCGTCTCGATTATCGTCCTTATCTCGCCGTCACTGGTTTCTGAGCTAGCGTTAAGAGGTGGAGCATAAAGAAGTGTACACATACCGTTCTTCACAAGGAGCCAGCTGCAGGTGGAATGATTACTCATCGGGTTCAGCGCGTAGCAACTTTGTTCTTATGGCGATTCTGTTCAACGGATTTTGCCCGGTAATGTCCGCGAAGCTTGGCTAGTTCAGTGGTATCCTCGCATTGATGAACGTTGGGAGGTGTTCCGTCCTCCTGAACCACCCAAAAATTGTACCCGACCTGTACCTAAATGCAGGTTTTCTCGCGTCTGGAGAAAAGTGCACGAGCGTTGCTACTCCCAGGTTGGTGGCTCTCCATTCTGGCGACACCTGGACGAACGTCAGTTTAGCTTGTGAAGATCTTCAATCCGGTCGATCTGGCTGACAAGTGGCTTAGTCGTCCCGTCAGGAATAGCTATTTGGTATCATGAAACATTAACGCCAGTTGCGACGGCGGTCTTTTCGTTGGCCTCAGATGCGATGACGCTGTAATATACTCGGCGTACGTGCTTGGCAGGGTACTTCATCGTGAGTGCCCAAGGGCGTCAATGCGGAACGAGCGAAGAATCAAGAGGAGTAACCAAAAGAGTGATAGAGCAGTGACAACATGATTATTACCATGTAGCCTCCGAACAACTTTGAACAGGTGTTCAGTGAAACGCAGCCATTTGGAGAGGTTGGACTTCGCAAACACCTCCTCGATGATAAGCTTCATATAGCGGTTGTATCTGGGCAAACTTTTCGTCCGGACGTGAAGCACCCAATGAAGCACATTTAATGCGCATCACAAAGAACCTCCTCATGCTCAGACCCTGGAGGCGATTAAATATTGAATCGCCAGAGCCATTATCGCCAATCGCCAGTAGGCGAGAGCTTTCATTTCAATTTGCTACCCATTTCAAACATGGGGTGGTGTCTGAGCCTGGAGACTTCCAAATGCCGCACAGGGATCAAAATCTTGCGACTTGCCGGATGACGAGGAACCAGGATCTCACTGCGCTAGTTTCACCAATCTCGTTTATACATTGCTCGGCTCCAAACGTCCGTGGTCGAAAGAGATAAATCGTCATTTTTTTGCGCTTTCGCGACCAACGGCTTTTGCGCCGTTGGCTGCTCCATTTCGAATGCTGAGCTGTTTATCTATATGATGACGAAGACACATGATTGATCAGAATGGTTGCATTTCCCGAGGTCACAGCGTCGGCTAACTTTTTGTTTGATGCGTAACCAAGCACGTTTACAGCTTCACAGTTCTACACCGAGCACGAATCCATTGCAACGTCGCCTATTGATGCAAAGTACACAAATTAAGATTTCCCTCTGTTTTGTTTTGTGACATTTTGTTTTTCTGGAACAATCCCTAAACTGCACTTATTATATTATGATTGCGGCCTCCGTCAATGTCTTCAGATGCCCAGAGCCGAGACTTTTGGCGTTGTCAATATCACAGCCCAATATAATAAATCATACGTTTTTTAATCATTTTCAGCTTTCACCAGCGCAACCACATGCTGGGGCCGAGAACTTACACGAGTTACATCTCATGCGGGCAGTTCTCACGCAGAATAAACGCGCTCTTCTGCAAAATTCACTTCTGCAGCTCCACATTTCACTGATGACATGTTGCTTCAGGCCCCCACCAAACAAATGTACTGTGTCAAGTAATCAAATGGCCAGCCCTGGCGTAGAGTAAACGCGTGCTGCGACTGGATTCATTCACTTTTTTACTACTCCACATTTCGAGGATGGTATGTCGCTTCATTCCCCGACAGACACAAATATATTATGCCAATACGGATGACTACTCTCTTCATAATGCATTGACCCAATCTGTTTAAAGGAAGGAAATATGCCAGCCTTTTAGTGAAATAGTTATTCTGAAAATGTGACTGACGAGGTAAACGGCAAATTATGTTGTCGTCTTCTTTTTATCGGAAGATTTATCTGTGTGCTTTCGGTTTGAATTAGGCATGTTTCGGTGCATTTTGCTGTACCCTCAACGGAGTCAATATGAAAAACAAACAGTGCCCTTTTCCTGTTCATCCCGTGGATCGTACAAAATGTATTGAAGCATTATATTTTTATAACTGCTCAAAATGCGCCGAATAATTTTCAGGTTATAACAGGAGGATGATTATGTGCCAGTATTAAAAATGGCAGCAGTTAAATCTCACGAAATAGGTGTTCCACTATGGCGACACCTCTCGAAAGACCTTTCCATGCCACTCAAAAGCCTTCTGCATCATTGGAGTTAAAGAGACCAGGCATTTTTCATGAAGTGAATAAGGCCCGCAGAAACGATGAGGATTGTATCAGTTAGACCCTACACCCTCATTGTTACTTTCGACTCATCTGGTCCATGCCGCGTTAATAAAACTCGCTTAAATGTGAGCAATGTGGAAGATATGAAGATTTAGAAACAAGCCACGCATCGGTTGGTGACACAGTTTGACTAGTCCAGGCAACGCCAATCAAGAAGGCTGTCAGTGCATGTTGTTTACTTTGAATCCCACCATTGGTCATTGTGCTGCAGACTTCCCAAAAGGGTAAGCTAAAAAGGCTTTCTGAAGAGATCTGGGTTCTTCCACCCGAACTACTATCTACTTTTAGACGAGGCTGCAGATATCCCACTGGCGGCGTGTACGGCGCATATGGTCGGCGCGTAGCAGCATCTGTGGCGCAGTTTCCAATTTGGCATTTGGCGGCGCACATGACGCCCCGTCTGCCGGCGACACACGTGGCGGCGCACGTGGCGGCGGATAACGGAGCGGGCTGGAGGCAGCGGTGGGCTAGCGGTGAACGTCACGGAGCGGTGGGCCGCGGCCGGCTGGTGCAGCAGAACCAGCACTACCGGCACCGCCCGGCAGTGCCGCTTCGTCGGGTAGCTGTCGGGTAACGAAGACAGTGTGTGATCTGTCAGTGCTTTCTCTGGGTGTTGATGATATTGTGCGGGCTGACGATAGCGCTCGGTTGCCGCTGCTGCTGCTAACACGTTGACAGCGCCCCTTGACCTGCCACTCCCATCCCGTGGTGAAGCTGGACTGCTCGGCATGTCAGTAGCTTCTTCTGCCAGGGAGTTCAACGACCGCACGACGCCACGTCCTCGGGTATTCCCACACTTTCACCGACCATGTTCCACAGGCGACATGGCGCTTCTCTAACGTGATCAGAGGACACGGCCAATTGACGCAATATGTTCAGATTTGGGCGTAGAATAACAGCAGAGTCGGACAAACTAGAGACAGACTCAGATGCGGCCAGTCAGTCACAAAACCACGCCCGCGGCCAGCCGCTACGGGCAACACTAGCGGATTTAAAGGGAGTGTCCCACGTTAGTACACTCCCTTTTTGGTTTTGGGGTTTTGGGTTTGGGGGTTTTGGACTGTAATAGCCATCTTGAAGATCATTCGGCGCGGCTCATAGTCCCGTCCTTAATATCTAAAGCCTTCTAGCTTCTGAGCTACACACCTGCGAAGATGTGCAGATTATTTCAGGGAGACTTTTCCAAGGCCATCAAGGCATTCATGACGCCATCTTATGGCGTCATCCAAATCATTTGATGCCATCAACCATGTGATCAATGACAAGACGAATACAATTGTCGAGTCGTTCATATCTGGCGTTCGTGAGATCTTGGGAACCAGATATGACGGCCGTTAATTGGCTCTCAGTCAGATTTGTGCAAGGTACGATGACGTAATCAAACAATCATGCATTGAGGAGCATATGTACTAAACGGTGAAATTGTGTGGTCTCGAACACTCTTTTCCCCTTAAAAGTATACTCATAGTTATAAGCGAGCTTATTTCGTCATGTCTGATGTTTGCCGATGAAATTGTGTTGTCTCGAACACTCTTTTCCCCTTAAAAGCATACTCATAGTAATAAGCGAGCATATTTCACCATATATGATGCTTGCTTAACTTTCTTGAAATGTGGAACATTCCCTTCAACTAGCAGCACACATTGCACTCAGGCCGCCATGCCAACGGCGTGCGCAAGCGGCCGGCGCACGCACACCACCTTTAACTGACCCGCGCTCACGCAGGCAGGCATCTCGAAGATGCCCTCGGACGGCGCCAGGACGAGGGTCACCGTTGCCCAGCTGGCTCCCCATCTGGTGTGCACCCTTTGCGGCGGTTACTACGTCGACGCTACCACCATTGCCGAGTGTCTGCACACGTGTAAGTTTGGGGAGAAGAGGCGCTACCCTTTTCGAACCAGATGTTGCTCATTGCTACACCGACCACCCGCATGACAGCATTTATGTGAAGGTTGCAGACATCTAATAGGCAGTTGTGTGCGCCCAAACACTTCATCCCTGTCCTCAGATAAATTAATGTGATGGACACGTGAGATACACACTCGGGACTACACTGATCACCAGCAGGCCCGCACTAATGTGGCACGTTATGTGCCATTAATGGGCGGTGGTGGTTGCCCTGACGTTTGATCGCTATCATATGAGAACATGGACCACTGCAAGCTGCCATGCACACATGGCCAAGCACACATATTATCTGTAATAAGGCAGAAAACTATGCTTGATTTTTTTCTGTGCTCACATTAGGAGCGATGCCGCAGGGTGGCATCCCGCATACCGCGTCCCCAGTAGTCTTAAACTGAACTTAGCGTCCGTAAAGTTGCGTCGAAAATGGGCCCAAAAAGTTCTCTATGCAGAAGCCGAGTTCCACAAATTCGGTAAGGGCGGGAGCGAGCACGTAATCCAAGCATGGGCGGCGTGACCGCTGTTAGGGCCGGTGGGGTCCAGATCCCAGCAACTTGAGCGGATTGGACCATTTTTGTGTTTTGGTTATATGTGATGGCACCAAAACAGAACTGGACGCTAGAAACGTTCAAGCATGGTTACATTCGCGCACCCAGAGGCTGATTTCTGCCAGATTTGGGTCACTTTTAGTTGCCATTTGGAAAGGACTGAAATACCAGCATTGTGTTTTATTTTGGTGTTTATATTGGGTTTTGTTAGCTGTGAGTTACACGGGAAAAGAGTGGCTAAATCGGCATCCATTGTCTTACACAAGGCATAGTCATATTCCACATTGTTCCATTTGTGCCCAGATTTCTTGCATTTTTGATAGGCATGCCTGAGGCTGCAAGCGAGTCATGTCCAGTTGAGTGCTCGGCCGCCAATGTGGAGGAAGGAGAGGGGAGCTCAGCGCTATGGGCTCGGGAGATCATCTACAGGCTGCGAGGCTCGAACCCAGTTGACTGAATATGAACCTGCGGCCCTATTTCTGTGCCCTACAGTCCTCCCTTGCCAACTCGTAATTTGCATCCGGGGCCAGTGCCCCCACACGTGACACCGTTAGCCAGATTTTTTGTGCATTCGGTGCATTGTGCGGCATAACACAGCCTTGCGGAATGACCCGGCCCATTTCAGTTTGTCGTTCGTGTATTCTGCGCCACCTGCGGACCACTAGGTGCTGTCCAGCGGCGACCTGCGACGTGCTGATTCACAGGACCAAGGGCGCAACCAGCCTGAGGTGAGCCTGCCGTCACCGGCGTGCTGCGGTCAACGCTCGGTCTGTCGAACGGAGGCACGGCGGGGAAGGGGCGATGGTCAGTAGTCGCTGGCGTTCGTCGGCTACACACTGACGCGATCGACTTTCACCAGCGTTCGTAGGTGGTTCACGTCGGTCCGCCCCACTTAATCCAGGGGTTCTGTGGTATATGTAGATCCATCACTTAAAAGTGGTCGATCAATCGCGAAGCATTCTCGGGATTTTTGTGGGCCAGCTTTTTGAGCTGGCCATGCAGAGTAAAAACAATGCCGCTAAAATGAGGGTTGTTACCCGATTCATGCGTCCGCCAATACCGATGTGGTGGGCATCGTGTGGGAATGTGGCGCTGCCCGATCCTGCCGTAAGTGTGGTGTTTACTGAACAGGGTCGTTGCAACATGACCGTATCACTACGTCTCCACCCCCCCATTCTGGTCGGTCTATCGAACGAAGGCCTTTTCCGCTTCAGGCCTGACACGACCCTTCAGAGCATCGTGTACAAAACCGTGCCCGGGCTCTACCGAGATGAGATGAGACGACGGCGGCAGTTCTACCTGGATAAACTCGACGCCGGTGGGCATCATGGCTGATATGCTGTCAGCACCAGATTTAAAGGCATACCACCATCGCTGCTGGCTGCAGCTAGATACTTCGCCTTTATCGTGATACGCATTTTTTACAATGATTTAAGGAAGTTTTAGCTTTCTAATTGGCCAAATTGGTTAAACCGGTGGTATTGCACGGGTCTCTATCTTTGCCCTCTTCATTGTCAGCCGTGTAGGCGTCTCTTAATGGAACTTACTTCATTGTTTTCGTAAGAATCACAGCCACGTTGACCAATGACCTCGTTGCAGACACTGATCTTCCATTGGCCTCGAAGGGAGCCTGGGAGGAAGGTGCGGTGCGATTTTACAGTCATGATGATTCCATCGGGGTACGGATACAGTACGCACCCCAAAGGTGAGAAAAACAAACCTGCACCTTGCAATCATTACCCTAGACGGTCGTAATTATACTCTGTAGAACGCTTCGACATTAGAAGTAGTAATTGTCCATGCATGTGTCCTATCGTTGACAGACGCTCGTGATCGTCAGGAAAACGTATTTTTCAGTTATTTATTAACACGTATGTCGGGCACAGCCGGATTATCACGGACTCTGCTTCGCTCGTGCACCGGCAATCTGGTTGACCTTGGATGCTTGTCCGTGTCATTTCAGTCCGGAGGACATTGTGCCTGTAAGGTTCTTACGCTGTCCGGCCAGCCTGCCCCTCAACGTGCTTAGGAAGTTCCTGTACCAAAAATACCGCTTCTCCGAACGGCTGCAGGCAAGTGGAAAAATATGAACACCACATTGCTGCGCGTCTTTTCTTAACGTGGGTATAAATCTCCCGAAACAGTAAAGATAACCGCGATAGAAAGGGATGCTTGCATTCGGCAAACGGGTTTCTCGATAGCATATGTGTTCGGAAGATGGTGGTGTATTTCTAGCTCTGAAATACTTCAGCCTTGTTCGCCGTCTGCAAACCCTTATCTACTGTCGCTGCACTGCAGCTGTAGGCCTTCAGTCAGGATTACGGCCATAAAACTGGACGTCCGGCGGAGGCGACGGTGATCTGTCCCGATTGCGGCGGGCGGTGGCGCGGCACCGAAATGACCGTTACTCGCCGTCCGCAGATAGAGCTGATCCACGGCAGGAAGGTGCTACCGCTTGATGTCACGCTGCTCGATGTCGCCTACATCGTGAACTGGACCGGGGTGAGCTGATGACTTCATTGTGCACGATTTTAGAATATTTTAATTTGATATTATGTCTTAAGCGCATGGTAATGTAGACTTCTGGTCTCAGCAGCACTGCTTGCATAAGCCGACCATAGCCACTGTGGTAACGTCCTATCCGTTTGGTTCTCAGGAAGCCCCCATGAAACTAGCATTCCGGTTGAAAATCACGGAGCTTGCCCCAAAACGTGCGGCAAGTGACCTGGAGTCGGCAGCAGATCCTTCTGCGAAAATCAGACGGCTGGATCCGTGCCGCACGTCGGCGACGGCACCGAGTTCGGAGGACACTGTTCCTAAGGCTACTGCAGGTCATACCACGAGATCGCGCAGTCATCCATCGCCCATCGTGGCGAATGACCGAAGTCGTGGCATTTCGAGTTCACGCAGCAGGGCGTCAAATCCGAAAGCCGGCGCCAAGCAGAGAGCATCCAGCATTGCGTGCAGCATAGTTCGGGTCGAAGAGAAGTGACAGGCCAGATGTTTCGGTCGCTGTATCCAGCATGGGGACCAGTCGGGGTTCTGCCGGTGTGGCACCAGGAAAGCGGCCTGGAAGCAAGCCGATCGATTCTGCATCGTTACCCAGCAAAATGAGAAAGCTATCAGTTAATCAAACGACGACCAACAAGCCGAAGTCCCAGACCCACGGCCCCATTGAGGCTGATGCACCCAAAACTCTTGTTCCCGTTCACACACTGAACGCCGAACCCAAAGTCGCAACGGTGGTGCTGGCACAGAAACCCGACGGCGCGTCCAAAACCACAACAGTTCCGCCAACCGCTCACGTTGATGTGAAGCAGAAAGCCCGTTCAATTGGCAGCAGTTCCGAGCAAAATGGCGATAAGAAGCCGAAAACCCCCTCAACTGTACCACACATGAAACCAGCTGACGATGAGGCCAAGACTGCTGTTGTCGCTCGTAACAGAGAACCTTTTAAAGGACAGAGCTGCATTCCGGCCACGGCCATCCCCAACATGAAACTGCCGGTGCAGAGAGAGTCCAAGTCGGCACCCCGAGACGGCATCCTGGTAGACCAAACCTGTCGGAAGGAGAACACCCTTCAACCCATGACTCAAACGGAGAAACAGCAAGAGCACAACCTGCTGAGAGGAAAAGTCGGGCAAAAAGAACAGGGTACCATGCCTGGGCAGGTTGAGACAAAGAAGCATTGCCAGGGGAAGCTCGACGGCAAAGGTGGTGCTCTAGAGGAAGCCAGGGAATCGGGGCCCCCATGCGGCGTCACAGAATCATCAAGCAGGTCCGTGAATGCAGACGCCTCAACGAAGTTGAAGCTTCCGGTTACAAAGGTCGACTGTTCAGTCCAGACATTTCCTATCTACATGATCCGAGCCAAGCAAGACCCAGGGAAGCTCTCAAAGACAGTCACTCACGGAACAAACACGCTTCTCTCTTCATCCTATCGGGGCCAGGGTCCTCAGGCGTCGCAATCAAGCAACACAACAGCACTAAACACGTGCAATCCCGCAGGCTCTCACCCCAAGACGAACGGTGGCAAACCATACAAAGCGATCACCTCTCAGGCAAAGTCTGTTACTAGTCTCTACCGTCCGCCTCCTGCTACCACAAGTCTATCATCAATCAGTTCCGGCTCCAAGGACCCAGAGACGATTTTCCTGATCTCGGGTGCGAAGAAGCCCCAGTGCAGCAACAAAATCATGTCAATCGTGGAATCCCTTACCCAGAGAAGCCTGACATCTCTAGCACAAAGGGGAGCCGATGGAAAGCCAAAAGAGCACAAGGGAAACGGCGGGGCTACCCCTTCCCCTCGCACGACTCCGCCGCCGACCTCCAAACCGCCCTCGTCCTCCGCCAGCAGCGGCGGCTCGTTCGTGGCGCCGGCGCCCGTATCGGCTCAGGCGTCGGGCGCGGCGGCCGGCCGCTCTGTCTCCTCGCCGCTGCACATCGAGACGGCCACGCTCGGTCTGCGCTACAGCAGCGCTGTGGCCGCCGCTGGCCGGCTTGGCGCGCCCGGCGCCGGCCAGCGCACCGGCCGCCGCTCGGCCTGTGTTCCCGGTGCTGCCGCTGCCACAGCGGCCCAAGAGCCAGGGCGTGCGCAGCATCCCGAACCCGTCGCTGGTGCGGCAGCGATCGGCCGAGGAGCGTGCCCGCGACAGCAGCAAGAGCTCGCCGACGGCGGGCGCCACGGCGCCGGCCATGTCGCCGCCCTGCATCAGGGACATCCACAGCCTGACACGCCAGCTGCAGGAGGCTGGCACATCTGTTACCGTGACCGACAAGACCTAGAGGCAGTCCACTACTAAGGATTAAGCCCAAAGCCCAGATCGCCGGACCAGTACAGGGTGTGGCGCTAATGGACGTTGTAGTCAGACGTTAAACACGAACACTACGCCGCGATGACTGGCCGCGACTTTGCCAGGCTTGTCGGTTGTCACTTGCCACCGGCTGACGTGTTCGTGTTTCATATTGCAACACGTTTTACTACTAGATTTTATGTTTCGCGCACGTTTTGGTGAGGCTATCTGGTAATTGCACGTTTGTAGGGCGTTTTCCGTAACCGCTATTATCAAGTTGTGAACAGCACTGTTGAGTGGCGATTGTCTATGTATTTATTGAGCTGTGCGGTCAAGCCGTTGTGAGCTCCACGGGGAATAACTACCGCTTGGCCACGTGGCCACGTGGCCTGACCGTGAAGCACGGCACTTGCAGTGATTGTAATGAAGTACAAGATATTAGCTGTTTGGGGAGACTTCAGGCCCATTGTTTACTTTGGTTGTCAGAGTGCATGCTAATTTACCAAAGGTCTTGTTCTACTGTGGCGAGAAAATGTCCAGCAGGTGAAGTTTACAGCACTTCTACATGTATAAGTCCTGGATGTGTAGGATCCGCCTTCAAGTTCAGTGCAGGGTCTACTCATTGAGTAGCTCAGTGCGCATGAGCGGTAAACGAAATATGAAAATTATCGCCAAATACATCCTTTTGGTTTGGGTTTGGTTTTCCTTCCGTGTGTTCACGATCTGGCTTAGAAATGAGCGCGAAATATCGAGTACCCTCAATATAATCGTTATTTAACGTTATAGCATCGCCTAGCCGGCACCTTACGGTATATCGAGGGTCGCTAACTCAACATGACTTTCAATTCTTCATACCGCAAAAAAACAGGAATTGAAAGCCTCGCGTTCTCATATCATGTTAACGAAAGGTCATCGTTTCCTGTAGCGATCGTTCATACGAACATTGCGATGCGATAGTGCGCCGTTGTGCAAAGAATAACGCTATAAGCAATCCGGCGTACGGCCCGCACGACGGCTTGCAATTATCGATCAGAGGTGTGATGTGCCACCGTAGGTGCAGCGTCAAATCACATCCGTCCTCGCGGGTTCTGGGGGTATGCTGAACCACTCACGCACCATCATCGGGTCTATAAATGTATTCGGGCCGACTGCGCGCCCCATCCAGCAACATTTTGGAGGCTGTGCGGCCGGCGCTGGCGACGAGACTTGAAGCTCAAGCCGCAGATAGCCCGGCACGTATTCAATGCTGCGGTGGTCGCCCAGTGCCGCGAAACAAAGCATGAGGGAAAAGCCCTGTCGTCTTCGGAGCATGACTATCGCCCCCACCCCTGGAAGGACCGCGGAGGAAGGGGGGGGGGGGGCGCAACAGGGCCATGCTTCAAAATAGATGTTCAACATGAAAACACTCAGTTGTCCGTCGTGCCACCTACTTAAAGGTGGCGGACGCATGCCAGCACATCGCTGGGTGACATCACGGAGGACTGTTCAGCTGAGCGGCCGCTGGCTACGATTATCGGAGCCCTGTTTTCGTGCTGTGGTGGTTACGGTGTTTTATATCAAGAGGGATCTGAGAACAAAGTGCTTGCGCCCTTGCCCGGGTGCTGAAAATTTCCGACTGCACTGATCCTTACAACGCTGCGCAGGAGCCAACGAAGACGTGGTGCAGCTGTTCCCACAGACGCTAAAACCCTGCCGCCTGACATTTTGACATCGGCTTACGTAGGTCCGCAGCCACTGTAATCTCGTATCAGCGTGTTCAGTGACGTCGAAACGGAGCTGTGCGGCAACTCCGATTTTTTCCGAACAAAGCTGAAATCGTTAAGCGCATTTTATCTCCGCATTACGGAGCTTCGTCACCTGAGGACTATTTTCGTCGCAGTACGTTAGCTCTAAACCCCTAGGGTGGAACTCTGGACAGCGGCGCTCGGCCCCGCCCAGAGAGAATCAGTGTCAGGAGCAGGGGTAGCCATACCCTCGCATTTGCCAAAGAGAGATATCTTTTGGCCCCTTAAAATTTCTGGAGGGGCCTCTACGGCCGACAGGGCACCCGTGATGACTTATGCGAGACATTACTACTCCGATTCAAAAAAGAAGAAAAGCAGCAGTCAATAGCGTCCGTTGGAACTCTACGGTAAACATTGTCAGCATCAGGCCCTTTTGATCGACAAGGCGTCCTAGATATTCCGAAAGGCATCTGAGGCATGGGGACCAATAAAATACAAAAAGCCCCATCAGCCGAAGAGGAGGCCCGACTAGAAAGACTGGAGCCCTCCCCACCAAGCTAAGAGGAGGTTTTATTCAGTAATGTTTACAGAAAAAGTCCTTTTGAAAAAGTGCACGGAATCTGAGAAACCACTTTCGGATAAGAGCTGGGAAAGCTGGGTCTCAGATCTGTTAAGCAGACCCACAGATTTGCTCGCTTCCTCGGGGGGGAGTCCAGCGCCGCCGCCTCTGGTCGGCAGTGCCACGTTCGCACACCGCCCGCTAAAAAACGACGTCATGCACGGGCTGGTTCGGCGCAAACTCCGCTCCACGCCGGGCTGGTTGAGCGCGAACTCCACTCCACGCCGGAGTGGTTCAGCGCGAGCTCCGGTCCACGCCGTACGTTCGTCCCTGAAACCGAGCGTCGATGGAGCGCGGGTCGGGCGGGACTCATGAGGTCCAGGGGCCGCGGGTCGGGCCTCATGAGGTCCAGGTTGAACCGCACGCCCCGTCACTTTCGCCGGCCGCTGACGGGTTCGAGCGTGTGGTTCCGTCTCTGGCCGCGCGCTGCGGGTGGCCTCGCCTATGGCGTGCTGTTGCTGGTATCGCGATGCACGAGTGCACCGCATGTGCACCGAACAGGTCGGTGCTGTCCGCCACAGCTCGCCGTGCTTATCGGGTCGTGTTTGGCAGCAAAACCACGCTTGTCTGACGAGGTCTGGCTGTTGAGCAGCCGATTAAACATGGCGGCGCCCGCCAGTGACGTCATAGCCCTCGTGCTGGACGCGGCCGGAACAGTGCGGCGCACGACATGACCGGGGTGGCATCGCACGGGTGCACTGAGACCATGATCAAGGGCCAGCCTAGAGCCGCGCAGGGCGCAACAATTACGAGATTAGCTAATAACTGCATGTTTCATTAAAGATGTAGGAATATGGGACGCTTTCTGAACGGGGATGCGTGGAAGCTGACCAAGAGAAGACTACACTCCAGCGATTTCTGCTGCGCCCGATCTCTGCTTTTAAGCTGACTCACGCAACTAAAAAAGTGGGCGGCCTTTTTCGTGTCGAAACAGCGTTGATCCAGCTGCATCATTTTGGCATCTGTCTATTTAGTGACCAGCAGGCACATCGTTGGGAGCCGACCTGGACGGTTGTCAAGATGGCGCACGCTAAAGGCTCAACAAAGCTCTTTCAGATACAAGTGCCTGCGTTTTGCAGTGATCCTGGTGGCCAGCGTCAAAACCGTCGCCTAGCAAGGGTCGAGCGGCACGAGCAGACACAAAACGGCGCAATACGAGACACAAGATGGCGCGGTGGGAGACACAATACGACGCAATGAGAGACACAAGACGGCGCAGTGGGAGACACAATACGGCGCAATGAGAGACACAAGACGGCGCAGTGGGAGACACAATACGGCGCAGTGAACGACACAAGACGGCGCAGTGGGACACACAAGACGGCGCAGTGGGAGGCACAATACGGCGCAATGAGAGACACAAGACGGCGCAGTGGGAGACACAATACGGCGCAATGAGAGACACAAGACGGCGCAGTGGGAGACACAAGACGGCGCAGTAGGAAACACAAGACGGCGCAGTGGGACACACAAGACGGCGCAGTGGGAGGCACAATACGGCGCAATGAGAGACACAAGACGGCGCAGTGGGAGACACAATACGGCGCAATGAGAGACACAAGACGGCGCAGTGGGAGACACAAGACGGCGCAATGAGAGACACAAGACGGCGCAGTAGGAAACACAAGACGGCGCAATGAGAGATACAAGACTGTGCAGTGAGAGACACAAGGAGGCGCAGTGAGAGACACAAGGCGGTGCAGCCAGTATGCATGAAGTGCACTGAAGCGATGACAGCGATGATGCTTGCATCGCGTTGACGAGCGTACACAAATGAATGCATTTTCCTGGGCAATGTCAAAGTAAGCCAGAGAGGATCGTACTGTGCGTGTACTGTGAGTGTGTGCTCGACGGTTGAAAATCGCCCCAGTATTCGTGCTTTCGCTACAGTTATGTCAAAGAGACCCGTAAACTTGCACGCAGCCTACACAACATACTGTGCCGGCTCACTTTTAAGAGATGGTTAACGAGATCACCTCGCGTGTGCGCGGAAGGAGTCGAGAAAAGCTTCTATGTTGATTGCACCGCAAACGATGCAGCCGATTTTATACGCCACGCCTATTTATTATTAATTACTTGCTTGATAATTTACGTAACACGCTTTGCGTGTGTGACAGTCGACTCGGAAGTGCATGCTAAGCAGAGCTCATTGCTTGGCTCCCGTACCCACGACCCATCTAGTTTCTTACCAGTTCGAGGGAAGCCCTCGGTCTTTGTGCCAGACACGATCGCGAGGGGTTCAGTTTCGTGCCAAACAACGCTGTGTCACGAACGTTCTATGCCAGACTGCCACTCCCTGCCCAGTTGCCACCTGGCTGCTTTGCGCGCGATGTAAACTGTACGGAAGAATCCGGCGCGGATTTTCCAGATGTTCCAAATTCTCCCGCTGAATTCACGTCACAGCTCCACTTGGACTGCTTCGGAGGCGACAAAATCCTAGCTCAGAAGTGTTTAGCGTTATTCACCAAACAAGACTCTGACCTGAAATTCGGTACTGTCTTAAAAAGTCACCTAGAAAATGTACCCTGAAAAATTGCACTTCACGCATTTTGGGATCTTTGTAGGACCGGAGTGCTCTCGGAAGGGCGAAACATCTCGAAACGATTTCATTTCATTTCATTTCGCCTCGCAGCGGCCACCACCATTTTC